AAAAAAATAAAAGAAAAGTAAAATAATATAAATTTTTACATATAAATATTTTTAATTTTAGTTTATATATATATAAATAATTTTTTAATTATATTATTAAGTAGGGAGGATTCGGGTGGGTACTCACAGGGCGGGTTAGATTGACATGCCACCATAATCTCATGTCTTCCTAACTAGTTCTTACCCGGTTCACGTGTAAGGACTTAAAATTTTTTTCTTTAGAGTAAATTATATTCTCTTCTTAGTGACACAAATATTATATTATTTTTTCTTATGGTAAAAATTATAATTTCTTCTCTCGAGTGATTCAAAATATGACATCCAATTTTTATATTTTTTTGTTGAAATTCTGTTAACTTTTGTTATAAAAGATATATGTATCATTGCATTCTTTAGGATACGGGGGTTACTCCGCGCTTCAAAGACTTGTAATGTGAATTTTTGGGATAGGTGAATGTGGTTGCAAGCCAACGTCACCCAAATAGTTGGACATTCGTCCTTGTTTTCCTGGTATTGTGTTCGTACATGGGGATGGAACTGACTTTGGCAAAGTTCATGTTCTTTAACCAGATGAAGGTAAGTTTGCCTATAGGATAGATCTCTCTAAATGGGTGGAGAAAGAGAGGTTTGTTTAGTTTGTTTGTCGAGTCCTTCAAAATGCTTTAAGAAAAAAAAAAGCCCATTTAAAGTTGACTTTTGGGCATGTAATGAGGAATTGTGTTTTAGAGGCCAGATGAGACAACTAAGGGAAGATAAGGATTACAAAAGTTGAGGTTAGCAAGTGTAATTAGTCGGTGAAGCTACCACATCATTTGGATGTAAAGGCTATGTTTGCGTTGACTAGTGCGACTAACTTGGATCAAGCTTTGGAGGGTGAGTATGGATGTCTCAAGTGTGTTTGTTTTGTTTTTGCTACGCTAGTTTTTGATATGTTCGCTCTGATAGGATTTGAAATGAATAAGTATACTAATACACATATTTGCTTAGATATAAATAATGTCTTGATATGATTAATAAGGTCAAGAAAATAGACTAATATATATGTCTTAAATGAATGTATGTGTAAAATCAAACTACTCGTATGGTCTTCTACACAACGTTTGAGAGAAACACTCTTATATTATTCTAATAAAATTATAATACCACAACGTCCTAAAGGAAATCACATTTTGGATAGATTTTCTCAATTGTATTTTTGTAATAATAAAGGGGGAGATAATAATTTGTTAAGTCAAGAAAAATGTTTCGAATTAAAAAAAATCATCTTAATTAACAAAAATATTTTCTAAGACAATATAAATCTTAGTTTCAAATAATGTGTTTGTCACCATAAAAAAAAAAAAAAAAAAAAAAAAATTTCTAAAACAAAAAAAAACTTTTTTTTAAAAAAAGTGTTTTTCCCCAAAAAAAAAAAAAAAAATTTCTAAAACAAAAAAAAACTTTTTTTTAAAAAAAGTGTTTTTCCCCAAAAAAAAAAAAAAAAATTTCTAAAACAAAAAAAAACTTTTTTTTAAAAAAAGTGTTTTTCCCCAAAAAAAAAAAAAAAAATTTCTAAAACAAAAAAAAACTTTTTTTTAAAAAAAGTGTTTTTCCCCAAAAAAAAAAAAAAAAATTTCTAAAACAAAAAAAAACTTTTTTTTAAAAAAAGTGTTTTTCCCCAAAAAAAAAAAAAAAAATTTCTAAAACAAAAAAAAACTTTTTTTTAAAAAAAGTGTTTTTCCCCAAAAAAAAAAAAAAAAATTTCTAAAACAAAAAAAAACTTTTTTTTAAAAAAAGTGTTTTTCCCCAAAAAAAAAAAAAAAAAAAAAAAAGATTGTTAAATCCAAAGACAATCTTGGATTCCTCAAGATCTCAAATTTTAATGATAACAATCAGAACATTTTTCTAATAGAAAATGTTTTTTTGTGAAATGTTCGTCAAATAAAACATAAGACACAATTTATTATAGATGATGTGTCATCAGACGAAACATATAGTCTGTCTTTATAAAGCCTTATATGTTTATCATTTATAATGACTAACGACTACCTTTTGCATGTCTAAGTAATTCCTTAAAAAATTGACCTACGAAAGCTCTTTAGAACTCACAAATCTGTTAAAAAGAATGAAGTCATGCTTTGTGCTAGAACTAAGGACAAACAGATCCCTAAAATCACGGAGAAACTCAGCAAAAGTTGATGTAGAACTTGCTCCTCATTGACACACAACACAGATAGTCCATTCAGCATCCTAAAAATGATAAGTAATCTCCTTGATCAGATAAGAAGTGAAAACTTGGTGAAATGCATTTAATGCAAGCATTTAATGTATCAACGAACACTTCTCACCTCAAGAAACTTGTAATAAAGACAGACGAAGCAAGCTTCTGAGGAACCCTCAAGGTTTGCAAAAGTCATCTTCATCTAGGCTACTATATAAGAAGTTTCACGATCAAGAAAGAAAGAAAAAAGATAGTAGGAGAATTTTTTTGTAGCGTTTGCAATTAAATATTCCTTCACTCTTTCTATAAAGCCCTTTGTACTTCATTTGTTGTATCATGTCTTGATACAAAGATGAAACAAATTTGTAAACCTTAGTAACTCTAACTTATCAAGTTTGAGCCTAGAAATAAGGCTTGTTTGTAAATGAATACTTGTTTTTGGAGCCTAGAGAGACTTAACTGTAAAAGAATACTCGACGTTGAAGCCTAAAGAGGCTTTGTGTAAAAAAGAATACTTAGGTAGATTGCTTGAAGAGGCAATTCAAAGAACACTTAGGGTTAAGTCAAAAATGGCTTGTTAAAAGACTACTTGTATTTTGTTTAAAATAGTGAAACTCAATCTGGTTAGATTAAGAACTAGACATAGTCTTGCTGGTTAAGACGAACCAATTTAAAAGTATTGTGTGTTCCATATGCTTTCTCTTCAACACTCCTTACTGATAGCATTACTACTTCACTACTTGAAAAAGTGTGAGTTTTTGATTGACATTATTCAACCCTCTCCCCCTTCTAGTGTTTATCTTTTTTCCATAAAACCCTATTTGAATTGATTTGTTGATGTGTTGATGTGCTTAATGTTAAGGTTATGAGATTTTAGAGTTTTAATATGAAAGCATGAATCTGAATGAATTGGTGCATTCTATATATTATGAAAAGTTATATAAAATGTTACCATATGAAGTATCGTAAAGTGAAGTTGTTGAGCTATCGTTATGTTAAGAGTGTTAGTGTGACACTCTACTACTCTAAAGGATTTAATGAATAAAATATAATAAAATTTTTGGAAAATAAAATATTTATAATAATTCTTCTCATAAAACTTGTAATAGGGTTCACATCCATAACCATTATTTAAACCATTGAAAATTTATTAAACATTATTTAATCAAAACTAAGAACAATCTCTTAAATCAAATAAGTTCTGATAATAAAATTTCCAACTTAAAACATTCATTTATCGTAAAACTTGACCCTAATGTCACACTATCAAAGCAATATCCCTCTTTATTGTTCTCCTTCATTAAATCCATTATCTTGTACCTGCTCTATTCTTGCAATTAGCATTCATCCCAAACATAAATATACAAACATAGGGAGTGAGAATATATCTCATCCATCACAACATATACAAAGCATAAGGATAGCCATATACACACAATTCATACAACAATTACATCATATACTTGTTCTTTCATCAATTCCTCTCATACAATATTAATAACAGGTTAATGTATTACATTACATTGATCACAAATACATCATATTCATCAACTAAGACTCATGAGATGTATGCTTCTAACTTTACATGCATGTGGTATCAATCTCCTCCTCCTCATCAAGTGTACAAAATAGCCTAGGAGTAATGAA